AGCTGAAGAGGCAGCACTCATAGCCTGTGTGCTGCCAGGGAACGTATCAGCACCCACTGACATCCGTAACAGCAGATGAGAAAGGTCCAGGAGCAGTGCCTTACCAACAGGAGTCTATAGGGAAAAATCAGCAAACAGCAACAGAAGCAGACTGAGACATGGCACACAGCAATAACAGAATGCTGGAAGTGCCACTGAGCTCCTGACTTTTCTTTCCCCAGAGTTAAAAGCTAGCTAAGTCAAGTTTCAAGATATTTCAAATCTGTGCTTTGAGCTTAGTAACATCTAAATACATTCAGTTGCAAATAAGTACTGATTTTATCTTAAATTAGATTATATGAGGACATTTATATTTATAGATAGAAATTGGCACATGTAAAATGTTATGCGAGCTGAGAAATTAGTTCTGATATTTCTTTTCCTAATAAAGAAAATGACATTATTTGCCATCTAAGAAACAAATACAATTAAACACATACTTTGTTAGTGCTGATATTAGGTAAAATATCTTAATTAAAAAAAACAGCAGAAAGCTGAAGGATAGAACTTCCAACTTCTGCACTGTGTATGGCTTTATTATTATTATGTTCAAGTAGAGGCAAACCAATGAGCTTTCCATGTTATAATTCTGTTTCAAGATTTTGCAAGGGCATTTTATCACACTGCCTCTTAAAACGTCTAACTGAGTATTTATGATTAAAAGCAGTGGGTTTTTTATAACTTGATTTTAGGTCTTACGAAAACATTACAAGTCCTTCCAGGTCAAAGCTGCTCTGATAAATGTACACAGCAAAAAATAAATCTACATTAGTTCTGCTCCATGAAACCTGAAAAAACTGATGCAGTTTCTCTAAGTAAATGCTGACTACTTCGTATTCACTTCAGTTTTAATTCTATGTTACATCTACAAAGCAGATCTAGGTGCTGTCTTTAAAACCAGCACTGAGACATCTTATTACACCCCTTTCCTGGGCAAATCATGCTGTGGATTGCTAAATCCCAGGCAAAAAAAACCAACATTTTTGAGAGAAATGCATTTATAAATGCATTTTACAAATGCATTTGAAGAGAACGCTGCCAGGCAACAGAGAGTTCAAGCCTATAGATCAAATTCAAGGCCAACTTTTTTCACCAATACTAAACCCACAATTAAACCTCTCTCCTCTGCTCAAAGCTGAGCCTTGAAGCTAAACATCAGACTCTTCATTCATATCTGAAGATGTCAGATGTAAGCACCCCACTGGGTGATTACAGATAAACACACTGACCCTACCTGGTTGGCATGACAGCCACGAAGGCCACACAGAAGTGAGGATTCTATGCACTGGATGCTGCCTGCTCCATCTGCACAGGATGCTGCAGAGGCCAGCATCTTCACCTGGCCACTGGAATTAGTGGCACACAGTACATTTTTCTTCAGCACTTTTCTTCCCAGCACATCTCTAATATTTGCTGCAAGAACAAGCTGAGCATAATTTGTTCTCGTACTTTTAATGAAAAATAAGATAAAGAATGACATGACAAAAAATAAAAGTAGTTATTGGCTGCAGAACAATCTTTAAAGCTATCTTACAGTAAGAAAAAGAAACAAGCAAGCAGAAAGAAGGGCAGCTTTCAACAGCATAAAGAAAAACACTCCCATATCACTGTATCAGCAGCAGTTGTCTACACCAAATTTACAGCCATTCCATATAATGAAATAAAGATACTTGGGAGTGACTCCAACAGTTCTGGTGCTTGAATACACTACATACAATGCACAAAATGAAATCCCAGCAGCACTTTTCTACATAAGGAAAGGCTTTATACAGTGATGTGCATTACTTTTTCTGCCCAAGTTATGAAAATGCTCAGTAGTCACAAAACTCAGTAGAAATCGAACAGAAGTAGATTAAAAAAGAAAAAAAAAAAATGTTCTAATCAAAGTGCTCACAGGGAAAAGCTTTGCTATGTTTCCTTCCCCCCCATAACGTTCTTTGTAAAATAAAACTAAAAAAAAAAAAAAAAGGTTACATTCAAAAAGCTATATTTTATTGTTATGGCAACTGATGTGCTAAAAATAAAGAAATAAAGTTGTTATGGCAACTAGCATTTTAAAAGGCAGTCAAAAGTAGAATAACCAAACATTCTGCTGGCTTAAAATGTAACGTCTATGACTCAATTTTCAGAGAGACAAGTAGAGTTCTTCTTTTTTTGATGGTGCTCCAGAGCTCACAATTAGCACAAACTCCAGATTGCTCCGCACAGCACAAGGTAGGAACTGGAGGAGAACAGACTTTCACCACTGGGATTTGTCTTGGTCACTGGGAGCAACGCACACCCTGTGCTGCCTCCTTACTGCGCTGAGCAAGCAGAGTTTTGCCCCTTCATACATACAGAGGATTGTCATTACGAGACCATTCTACCCTTCAGTGCCTGATGGATGGCTGCTCAGCCTTGCTGTGAGCTGTACTTCCCCGCAGCAGACAGGCACATCTCAAAATCACCACTTAGCAAATTAACAGAGCAACTTTCCAAGGCCCGTAGTCGGATACGCCTTAATTAATAGTAAGCAGAGTATCTAACACTCAGGGACTTGAGACAGTGACTTTTACTGGAAATATCTGCACTGGAACCATGCACACAGCACTCACTGCCATTCCCATGCTGGTTGACATTTAATAGTTTACCCACAGTCCCTATGTGAGGTACTCCTGTCTTGCCCCTCTGAGAGCTCCATCCACCACAGCCATCCACATTCACTGCTTGCACAGCCAAGAATTCAGATTTGTACTAAAGGGAAAAGAATCTGATCGATTCCTTAGCGTGCACTGGAAAGTCAAGCAAGACATAAGGAAGGGCAGCAAGGGTAACGCAGATAAATTTAAGTGCATTTTTGTGGGTTTGTTTGCCCAATCTCTCTATTAATCCCTGAGGATAGGTGCACAGTTACCCATTCCCCCTTAAGCACTACATGAAGCCACAAGTATTTCTAGAGGTGCAAAGTTGGAGGCAAGAATGGATGTTAAATGAGGAATCCTGACAAAGTCAAGAGCTTCTGCACGGGAAGCTCCATGTACAAGAGTCACTATACAGTCAAGATAAACCTTAGAAATAGGAAAATCAAAGCTTTAAAGCAAAAAATTTTAGCAGCATGCTCTGTAACACTCAGGCTGAAGGAGCCAGGCTGCGTATTTTCAAGGCTTCTTGCTGACTCAACCAGCTAGCGAAGACAAAAGACACACTGTTGTGAGCTTGTTATGAAATTTATTTCCTCGTTGTGTTAGTCTAAAATTAATCAAGTGCATTGCTTGCTTGAAGTGCAAGCCTTTGATTCCAAGGAAAACGTGCAGCAGACCAAACAACACCCCACCTGAGAGCTACGTTCATCCATCGCTTGCATTCTGCCTTGCATGGCAGCTGCACAGGGAATGCACCTCACCACTACCATAGGGAAAGGGGGCAGTTCTCTGAAGAAATATGTACAAGTCACCACAGTGCAGCTGCCTTCATCAGCAGTGAAGAAAACCTCTTCTGGCAGGCTGACGGTGTGGATGAGGCACAGCCTGAAAATGCAGCCCCAAATATGGGGTTTAGTTTAAAGTCAGGCTGTATATTGTACTATCTGGTCAAAAAAAGGTTAGATTTTGAAAAAGGGTTGCTTTTGAGACAAGGCAGCCATAGGAACATGGCTTTATCCAGACTGGATGTGGCTCTGGGCAGCCTGGTCTGGTGGTTGGTGACCCTGCACATAGCAGGGGTTTGAAACTCGAGGGTCATTTGGTCCTTTTCAACCCAGGCCATTCTATGACTCTGTGATTCTATCAAATATTATATCTGACTAAAACATTGCTCAATATCACTAATATTCAGCTGTTGGTTCCAAAGAACATCCCATAACAATCTCCAACTGGCCTGAATTCTTAGCTGCCACAATACCTGGGCATGTTCACAGAAACCCGTGTGAAAGATTATTAGAAAGAAGAGATGCACAAGTAGGATGCAAGTGGTTCCCCATCTGGTACTGATGGGGAAATTACTCTTAACTGGTATGAAAATATTAATTTCAAAGAGAAAATGTTTATGGGCTACAGGCAGTAAATAAGATTTACAGGTCTCTCATCTCCTTTTAAGTGATTATTGTGAGATGTACCTAACACTGGCTCATTTCCTTAGAGCATCCTATAAGAACAAGTATGAATAACAATAAATCCCAAATTACAATCTAAAAGGAGTCACAGATAAATTAAGGTTGAAAAAGGTATCAGGATCCTCTCGTGTATTGGATGCTAGTTGGAATTTAAGTGATGCACTCGCTGCTTATTATTATTACTGCTTGCTTATTATTACTGCTCACTCACCAAGATTTTGAAATATCAGCTCTCAACAGTTAGTCACAGAAAATACTGCTTGTTACGAAAACTGACTCGTGTGCCTTCTTCTACATGTGAAAGTTTAGGACCTCAGACTGAGCTCTTAAAGAAAATACTTGGTTTAAAGCTTTCAAAAACACACAACAGAACAACAGTGAAGTTTCTCTCAGCTTTAATTCAGACAAAGACCATTCCAAGCCAAAACTGCAACTAGCAATTCGGATTTTCAAGACAGAGAATCATTTTTAGATGGTCATTGCATTTGGATATGCCAGTGCCTTTTGTGTGGCACCATGGCAGTTCAACAGCCAGCTGATAAACAAATGGCCTTCTTATTTACAAGTCAGTCTGAGGCTGTTCCCATTTGTTTCTGGAGACTAATGTCACTATGAATCTACATGTGCAATAACAGAAATTAGTCAGCCTTATAAACAAGGCATTTAAAATACAATGGTTCTGTCTTTCAGTGCAGCTTTCCAATTTCCAGACTGCAGATGCTGTGCGGATAACATCACTGAACTATACTCAAACTAGCTCCTCCATTACAGCAACATACACAAAATGATGCTTTGTCTCTTCTGCTCACCTTCAAACAGCTCCAGCCCTCGAGTAACGTGGCCTCCTGAACAGCAGTTATGTGACCTTTGCATGGAAGCAGGGAATGGATAGGAAGAAGTTAGCATGCAAAGAATTACAGATGAAAGGCAGCACCATGAGAACATTGAGAAGATAAACGTTGTTAGGAATTGTAGAGCTCTCAGGCTGGCCTGGGCTCTGAGCACCCTTATGGAGCTGGAGATGCCCGTGTTCATTGCAGGGAGGTAGAGCTAGCTGACCTTTAAAAGTCCCTTTCAAATCAAATGATTCTATCGTTCTTACAACTGTCTGCACAAAAACTGATCAATTTGAATACTGGTTTGTTAACAGGTAAACTAGGATAGCTATCAATGTTTTATCTATGGAGGGATAGCATAGAGCTTTAAACTCATTCAGAGGCGTGAAGCATTTACAGAACTAGCAGCTTTTATTGCAAGCTAAAGAAACAGAGATACTGAGATATCCCTGCTCCATTCTGCCTAACAAAACACTCTGTATCATCGTATATATCAGTACATTCAGAGACTATGAGAACATCAATTTAAATATCAGTTCTTCCAGTAACCATCAGTTAAGCCTATTCAGGCCATAATACTGTTATTACCATTCTATTTCAACTGATGCTCCCCTGCTTCTGCAGATAACAGATTATAAATTAACACAGATCCCAACAGAACGTGGCCTCCAAGAGGACAAATGCAAATCACATTTGCACTCTACCCTTCAGAACAGATGTGTGAGTGCATGTGATCTTTAGAGCTGGTACATCTTACAGTGCCCCAAGAGTCAAGGTTGCATCCTGAGTGCCATCAGTGCTCTCCTAAGTGGCTGTGCACAGAAGAGAAAATGCAGAACAATTCTGCATATGGCAGAATGCTTTCTAATTTTTTTTTTTACACAGGCCCTGAAAAAAATATTGGAATTATTTTACATACTTTTTTATACCATATATAAAGGTTAAAATTTAGATAACACAAAAATTACTAATGGATGCTATTTTTTCTTTCTGCAAAGAGCTGTCATTAAACATAAGAATTCCTTCAGAGACAAAGAGTGAGTACAAGGTTTTCCCTTCTGTGCACACAAAATTGAAAAATTTTCTCCAGATGAGCAATAAATGAATCAAAACTTGACAAATTAAATTCACCTCAGGGACATCTTATTCCTGAATTTCTAACAGAAGTATTAACATTTACTATGTGACTAGATACCTTGGCACGTTCATAATAAACTAAACCTTTTATCTGAAGTCTGAATTTAAATAAAGCTCTTGAAAGAATTAAAACCTCTGTCAACTTCTGCTCTTCAGAGGCGGTATTTTCTTATTAATTTCTGGAAAGTATTTTCAGTTCATATATAATTTGTTATGCCACAACACGTAGAGTCACTAGAATAGTTCAGACAAGGGGAAAATTAACCTTCAGCAGTAACCAAAATACCACTAATGAGGCAATAATAACCAATAGCAAAGATGAGGCATCCCATCAATCCAATCAGTGTTTGATTGAATCTTTCCCTAGAAACCACATTAAATTATAAAAACATCACGAATTTACCTGACCCAAAATGAACAATCAGGTTTACTGGGTCAGGTGAGTAAAAGCCATCCTATACTCACCCCTTCAGGGAAGGCAGAGATAAGTGAAACTCAAGAACCTGCCAATAGATATTGAGTTAGCTGAATATAAAGCAAACACAAATCTGGAAATGCTATGCATATGGCTATCTGTTCCTGCACAGTCATTGTTTGATTGTGTTTTGAACAAGATACAAGTTGAGGGAAGAACTTATTTTGGATGCCATCACCAAGAAGTGGAAGAAAGGAAGGTTATCAGATGAAGTCAGCATTTGCAAGAGGAAATCATGCTTGACCGACTTGGTAGCCTTCTGTGATGTCACGACTGGCTGGGTCAATGAGGAGAGCAGTGGGCACTGTCTACCTTGATTTCAGCAAGGCTTTTGACACTATCACTGATAACATCCTCATCAGTAAGTTAAATAAGTGTGGGACAGATGAGTGGACAGAGGGATGGACTGAGAACTGGCTGAGTGACAAGAGCTCAGAGAGTTGTGATTGGCAGCACAGAGTCTGGTTGGAGGTCCATAGCTAGCAGTGTTCCCCAAGGGTCAGTAGTGGGTCTGGGCTTATTCTACATCTTCACCAATGACCTGGATGAAGCATGTTTGCAGATGATACAAACCTGAGACACGGTTGACACACTATAAGGCTGCGTTGCCATTCAGTGAGACCTGCATATTCTGCAGGGTTGAGCAGAGAGGAATCGTGTAAGGTTCAACAAGGGCAAATGTAGAGTTCTACACCTGTGGAGGATTAACCACACTCATGAGTACAAGTTAGGGATGACCTGGCAGAGAGGAGCTCTGCAGAGAAGGACCTGGATGTTCTGAGGAACAACAGGTTGGCCACGAGACTGCTGTGTGTATTTGTGGCCAAGAAGGCCAACAGGACCCTGCAGTGCATTAACAAGAGTGTGGCCAGCAGGTCAAGGGAGGTGATCCTTTTCTTCTATTTGCCCTGGTGAGGCCACATCTGGAGTACTGTGCCCTGTTCTGGGCTCCCCAGTTCAAGAAAGACAGGGAATTTCTACAGATCATCCAGTGAAGGGCTACAAAGACTCTTAAGGCCTGGAGCATCTCCCGTATGAGGAAAGGCTGAGAGACCTGGGGCTGTTCAGCCTGGAGAAGACTAAGAGGGGATCTCATCAATGCTAATAAGTGTCTAAAGGCCAGGAGTCAAGCGGATGGGTCCAGGCTCTTTCAGTGGTGCCCAGCAACAGTACAAGGGCAAGGGGCAGAAACTGGAACACAGGGAGTTCCATTCAAACATGAGGGAAAACTATTGTGAGGTGACAGAGCACTGGAACATGCAGCCCTGAGAGGTGGTGAAGTCTCCTCTGGAGATATTCAGAACCTCCCTGGATGCTTTCCTGTGTGATCTACTGAAGGGAACTTGCTTTAGCAGTGGAGTTGGACTCTAAGGCATCCAGAGATCCCTTCCAACCCCTACAATTCTGTCATTCTGTGAAGTATTATGTACCTCCTTTTAGCCAACTGAAAAAGTGACTTTCTAATAATTGATAATTGATCATCAGAACAGCATATTTTTTTTTATCATCAATAAGCCTATAGCTGTACCATTCTTGATATCTAATCCCTCTAAAAGAGAAGTGAGACTTTTCCTATTAGTAGAAAATGATATAAAGATGCAAATAAAAAGTTAGAACCAAAACATCAGAAATTGTTATTTTCCAATATATCATCACTGAAATTTCCCAGTGACAAAAGTTGAGACAATCAGAGACCTTAAGGTTCTTTTTTTTCTTTCCTCCAAAGGAGGGCCATTTATGATTTTCACTGAGATATTTGCCATCAGAACACATCTCAGAAGAAAAGATGCCAGTCATTTTGGGAATAATGAGAAAGCTTCACTACACAGACACATTTTCAAAAAAGTGCTGGGGGGAAAAAAAAAAAAAAAAAGAAAGAAAGAAAAGCACACAGTTTATATGCCATTCTGGATGCTTTCTGTTGTTGGCAATCAGGCTGCTCAGTAGGCAGAGCTCAGATGACATGGACAACCCCCATGGAACCAAGCAGAAAACCCAGAAGTTGCTCCACTCCACAAGGAAGGGTAAATAGCTCTCACAGATTCACTGAGGTCAAACAGATGCAGAATTCTGAACACAAATATTTGCCACGAAAATAATATTTCAGTCCATTAACCAATCTGCTGTGGCAGCTGGTGAACAGTCATCTTTTTAATTAGCCTCCCTTACTGATTAATTAGTCTCAGAGCACTGAGCAGTGGAACCCTGCACGATGCCATTGAGACAAAAGATATTCCTCTTCCTAGCCTTTGGTATAGCTGCAAATAACAAGTTTGGTTAATTTTCCACTCAAACTAAAATAGTCTTTTTCTATATATGCAACTCTCTCAATCCACAACTAAACAGTTTCAATGCCACCCTTTCACACAAATAAAAAACACAGCATCCAGGCACCAGTTTCAAAGCCAATTGCATTTTATCACATTAGATTAGACACGGTGGCTCATCTGTAATCTCCTCCACATCCCAATTTCTACCTATGCTAACAAACTTGCATTAAAAAAAGTCAAGCAAATATTACCTTATTGCTGCCATCAAGTGACAGCAGATTGCTAACCATTTACACATCAGTTCTGACAGGGTCAGAGTGAGGTGTGACAGAGCATCATGACTACTGAAGACCACTACCAGTCGCATCAGGGTAAACTGTGCCTTGCCACTGGTTAATTTATGGGAGCTCCAAATATATCTCATCATGGAAAAAATCCACCTGAGCAACTTGAGAGGGAATGGGAAGGTGGACAAGAATTCCTGTCACATACAGAGGAGAAAACCTCCATCACTGAAGTGACCCATACCTGTGTGTTGGTCCTGTTCATCCCCATCTAACAAACAGGCCTGACACGACTTCACAGGAACCAATATTATCCCTTCATTATCATCATATGAGCAGTTTTCTCAATGATCTGCATTTGTTTCTTCCTTAATAAATGGAGAGAAATACATATTTATCTCTGCTAATGCACATCTTTTCCCCTCTGTATGGTGCCACATGCAGCAGGGTCAGAAGCCCGTGGCTCACATGTCAGAAAGGTAACTGCAGTGAATTTTTATACAGTACAGATTTACATGTATGCCAGAAATGAAACACTGCCAAATCACAACTCCCACTTTCTGAAATTGTATGCAAGACCTGCTATTGTGCTCCAGTCAAGATTTCTGAGAGGCTCACAGCAATCACTAAGCTGGAACTCAGCAGGAGATGTAAGACAGAGCAAGCGTGGCTTGTCAGTAAGGAAGTATTTCTCAGCACAGAAGTGTTCCTCCCTCCCTACCCTCCCAGAACTCCAGCCCCAACCAGAGATGGGAACCATGTCACCGTGGGAAGGCTCTGGGATTGGAAATACAGCTCACTAGATGGTTCTCAGCAGCCTGCTGACCTCCAGTACAGGGGATGACAGGACTTGCCTTTTCGAGACAGTAAGAACAGCACTGATTTTTCTAACTAGGCCAGATATTCTTCTTTCTGCATTGAACTAAAACACTAAAACAAAACCCAGATTATTTACCCCCGATGGAAAACACAGAACAAAACACTCCCCTAACAGAAAGGGCATGTTTGTATCACAATTTCTTTATATTGAGATGGTGCTGCCATTCACAAGAGACACATTTTCAATCTGTCAGCACTGCTCTCCTTCCCCAGCAAGCAGTTTCCCAGGACTCACCCAGTAGTTTTAAAGCTCCAGCATTTAATATATTTCTCTTTGTTGCCCAGAAGATGCATCCACAGATCAGGTATCATATGCCCAGTACAGGTAACCCTAGCTATCAGATCAACATAGAACCTGTGACAGTAAAATGACAGTTTTCAACATCTGTTCCTCAAGTTAGCTCTGTATTATTTGCTTTAGAAAAAAAATTTGTAGATCTCATATAATCAAATGTGCTATTATAGTCAAGAAATATATACAAGAAAACTGACCAGCATTCCTTACATTACCAGGAAGTGGTGGCTAATGCTAAGTTAATGACAGCAGCACTCCATACTGTTCTACAGAGTGACACTGTTTAGCCGTGTTGTTTTCATCACCAGGCAAAGAAAAGCAAACCTGCGCCTACATAAACTTTCTTCCTTACAAATCTCCACGTGAAGAGCTTCTTCCATTGATTTCCAGGTGTCCTCACTCTTGCTGAGGCAGTGCAATTGCCAGTTAAGCAGAACAGTACTGGTGAGGCTGGATGACAGAAAGGAAAACGGGCCAGGGCGTTGGGAGAGAGCTGTGACAAGAAGATAGGAGATGGAGAAGCACAGGACAGCATGGCTGCAGCTCCAAGGCAAGCAGGCAGCTGGGTCAAGGAGAGCTGTACCAGGGGCAAGCAGGCAGCAGGGCATGGCACAGATGTTGCTCCCACCTCTGACACACCTGACCTCTCAGGACAGTCAAATGCAGAACGCTGCCATCTCTTACCATGTAGCAGTGTCTCACAGGAAGATGCTCAAGGATGCACACGCTTACCAAAAATACTGAAGTAGTCAAGGAGACAATGAAACTGCCCAGATGTATGCACAAATGAAAGAATCAAAATGAAAGCTATATATCTGATGGGAAGAAAAGTTAATCATGGAAAAAATCACGCATATTGGGACAGCACTGTGCAAACAATGCAGAAAAACCAGTTCTGCTTTGCCATACAGAAGAAAGTGAACAATTGAGTAATACTCACATTACAAATCTGTTGAACGTGCATCTCAGTATTGATACACACAAAATACTGCTATCAGAAAGCTTTCAGCAGGACTCAGAGAAGAATATACATATGACAATCCTTAAGTAGCTCAATTCACTTTACAAGCACACAAAAACCGTTTTTCTTAAGATATAGTATAGAAAGCTCCTAAAAAAAGTCTGACAAGTTTTTCTGTTGCATCCAACCAACAGCAGACTTTATCTTTAGTTTGGCACAATAGCTCTCCCATTCATTTATTTTTATGAACTCTTTCATCTAATGTACGCTGGGCGATGTTACCACCAGTAGCTACATGTGGTTTGGCTACAGAAGAAAGCTTATGATTTCAGAATAGATTTATTTCAGAAGAAAACTGAATTTGCACAAATGCTTCAGCAAATCATTCTATAATCCATACCAGTGTATGTAGCATCCATCATCTTCCAAAATACACACCACCAAAATACTTCTACCATGAAAAGGCCAAACATGGCAAGGTATTTTTAAGGCATGAGACCCTAGCTTCAAGATCAGATTTGTATTTTAGAAGCTCTCCACTCCCTCCTCCACAGTGAAACAAACATATTTGCCACTTTTGGAAAGCAAGCAGAAAAATAATGGAGGTGGCTTTGATGCAACATACAGCTGACAGATGTCCTGCGAATGGTTTCCAAGGAAAATACAACCCAGCCACCACTTCACAAAGAAAAATGTACACCATCAAAATAACTTTATTAATTGGTAAAGCAAAAAGAAGTCATGATGGCAGATCTCACTCTGGGACTTTTTGAACTTGACTGACAAAGCTGATAGGTCAGACAAACAGGATAAGCATCAAAAAGAAGTCACAACGTTATGAAAGGAAGCATTTACTAACAACCTCTACCCCAGAACTTTTCTGTGGACAGATGATTCATTCTCCATGCAATACAATACAATAAATCCAACATTTTCTTTGATCAACATATAGAAGTACACTCACCTATTTGTGCCATTGTGACCACTCTTGATACCACTTTTTTTTTTTTCCCCTCAGAGTGCATGAGCAGTGAATTGCAGAATCACAAAAAGTGAACGTACTCACACTGCACAGAGTTTTTGCCAGCTTAACCCAGAGGTTCTCAATCTTTAGATTACAGCTATAAGCAGTCTGGGACAACACCACAGACAACTTCAAGTGCTCACTGACTGCACTGGTAGCACTGGCATGTGGAATAGGAATAAATTACTGACACAACCCTCTCAAACCACCTATCCCATAAGGAGACTGGTCTCCTCTTAAGGAAAATATTTCTAAACTTCCTTTTTAAACAACAAAATAAAAACCACTCGGGTTTGTATTCTTATTTCTTACTAAAAAGCAGGAAAATAAGACACAGAGTAAACAGAAAGCGCTGAAAAACAAAGGCATGAATTTAAAAAGCAAACACCTGGACAAGAAGCTGATGTGCTTATTATCATCTCAGCAAGTGAACAGATAACTAAATGTCAAGTATTACTACAGATATAGGTCAGCAGTTTCTATTGTTAATGTCATTCAGCAGGTATCCCTGGCAGGAGGCAAAGTCACCACTGCAACTTCAGTTGCTTCAAACAAGCCAAACAGCTCCACTCTTCTGCTACTTTGCCACTGAATAAAATTGTAATAAAATGTAGAACTCATTTTAACTCCCCAAAAAAAGAGAAGGGGAAAAAAAAAAAAATAATAATAACTTACCATTGTGATGAGAATTCTGTATTTATCCAGCATTGCCTCATTGTCGTGGCATCCTGCCAGCAGCTGCCAAACCTCTGCCCTCAGTGCCTCTGGAACTCCTCTTTTCACCAGTGTGGACAATCCGTTGGGTCTCACCACGAGGTTATTGTGCCTAAGAAACAGAGAACCAGTCACCTGTTACATGACATGAACAGAAAGCAAGACAAAAAGAGCTCAAGCTTTCCAACCGTGCTCTGAAAACTAAGAGTCATCAGCTATAAACACTTTTTTCTACAGGTCAAACTAACTAGTATTTGTCAGATGGGATGCAAGGATTTACAGTAAGAACCAATGGCAAAATATAGTGGTTTCCAAAGTTATTCCAGGGAAGATGAGAAATGGTAATGACAATTAAAATAATAAACTGCAGAAACTGAACTGGTCAATAAACTGGGTCAATATACAGGTCAATAAAAAAAGAAACTGAATTGAAAGGGAAAACTAAACTGTATGTGCAACGTGTATGTTTAGCATAAGTTCCCTGCATAGGGAATGACATTCTGGGAGCAATCAGAAGGTGACTTTAAGTGCTAATAGAAAGATTTACAGTCCTGCTCTTACCCCAAGTTCCAAGAGCAAATCACACAGCAGCCCTGGCACGCAGCTTGCTAAAATGCCAGCACCCCAAGCACAGCTGCCCATGAGGCTGCATAGTCATCAGCCAGCACCAGGCTGGCTCTTCCCTGACCACAGCACCATGTCAGTAACCCTCAGACGTGGGCACACATAAATGTGAGGAGGCCGTAACCACACAGATCGAATACTGAAGGCAGGGTATTTTTCACAACTAAGCCCATGCCTTCTGGATAAAAACAACTGCACGTACAACACTGCACAGCGTTCAGACACAGATATTTAAAAACCCTTTCTGAGATAATGGTGTTTACTGCTGTAGATTAAACCTCGGTTTGATTTATTATGACAATTTTCCTAACAGTGCAGCAAGAAGGCCGTGTGAATTGATGCTACTCTTGCTTAGGTACAAAATGCTTGCAGGAATTTGCTTTGTTATTGTTTTGACCATTGCCATGTTTTTCAGTTCTACTGGCAGGAGAATACTAAGAGCTGCAGTTTAGCCAAATGCTAGCAAGCTGCCATTTAATTAAATAACCCACAATTTGACCCTCAATTTTATATAAATGTTTGGAGTACTCATTCTCTGAAGCAGCTCATTAAGACCTGAACAGTTTTCCACTGCTGTTTCCATTTAAAAGCCACTCCAAACAATGTTCTTTGTCCCACACTCAGAGGATGGTATCCATGATACCCCCGTTGTCTCAAATCACTGTGACACCACGGGGGGGCCAGGAGGCATGACTTACTATGCATAATGCTTTTAAAAACAGCGAGTAGCTTTAATTTTAAGCACGCAGTGCAACAGAAGTCACTTCAAACTTCATCATTCAGTCAGTCAAAATGAAGGCCTTGCCAGGCCCTGCTCTCTTTTCTGGTGTATCTTGAGACAGGGCACATTAGTACTGCCATGACAGGAAGAAGTTTGAAAGCAAAGACAATA